CAACCATATTTATCATAATGCAACCTGTATGGCTGCATGGAAGTAAGTAGGTTTTTATGGTTTATGCTATTTTCATAATTAGATACAGCCCTTCATTTGTAGAGTAATGCTAAAGGACAACAGGAATATCATCAGGCGCAGAAAAGCTATGAAAGCTATGTATATAAGCCATTGCTAGGAAGTAGCTGAATTACAATTGACTGAGATTTTCATTAAGCAACATTTTGCAGTACTTGGTTCTTATTTCCTCATATAATATGCAAAAGATTAAATGATCTTTTCACGAAAACAAAAGAAGTGATTTTAGATTTCTGACTACATTCACATTTTAGACTAAAGTTAAAGATACTATTTTCCTGAAGGCAGATTCTACACCAAATACATGGCTAGCAGTAACAGCTGATAGACAGTACTGATACTAAGCCTGGCCCTTAATACTGCAGCCCTATACAGACAGGAAAAATAACTTAATAAATGTCTTAAGACGTACCAAAGTTCTAGCCGAGTGCATTTAACTTCGATCCAAGTTAAATCTGTCTTCGCAGTAACTTCTACTTGGGACAATTGCAATGCAGATATTTAATGTTCAAGAACTCAATGTGCTTAAGCCAGTTTTAGGCTTAAGCAATGACAAACGCACAACTAAAGTATGATCATTATTAACACAATGTGCTCAAAACTGCATAAAGCCATGACAAATTATGCTTGGCATAATCCCCAGCTGAACGAGCCTACTTTAATCATGGTCTTCTGATGGAATTTTACAAATCAGCACTGAACTCACATGGTGGCCTTCCTCTCTGTGTTCTCTCATCATGTCATCAACAAGCTTTTAGCACTACTGTACTTGGCTGAGGCCCATATACTTGTAGAGGATGTGTAGAATGACACATTTCCTGAAATTAGCTGAATGTACTTGGTTGACTTTACATCCATGACATTATGACAATGTTTCTGACATGCTGATCTCTCAGACAAATGTGGCAGTGTGATAATGAATTACAACTATGGAAGTTTCCATACATCATAGAGAGAAAACTCAGATGACGCACACACAACAATGAGATACTGATACTGATCCGTCTATGTCCAAAAACAAAGATCCAGTCAAACACTGACTACTCTGTTCCAACCCTCACCTTTACAGTTAACACGCTAAGGCCATATTGGAAATGGTTCCCTAATGACTGTACTGTAAAATCAAACTACTGTTATCTGGGAATAGTCGTCCATAATCAATTAACCTCTAGTGGAAATTCCAGTGGAGTCTCAAAATGTTTCTGTATCATATACATTTATAGTGGTGGCAATTTCTATTAATCTTGTGATTCACATTGATTTTGATTACATTATGGTGCTAAGATGTGACTGTAAAACTAACATCATCTTAATTGATTTTAAAAGTAGCCACAGAGCACCTGTTACATCTGTAAGCCTAAATCTACATTGAAGTATCACCTTCTAACAAGTTTAAACATAAAAATGTATCCATATGTATACATGTAACTCTGTTCCTTTCCACATTGTATACAACACAGCCTGTACTATTGTACTACTGTTCTATTTTTTGTTAGAAATATCTGGTACTACTGACATTTCTCCCTGCAAAAATACTATATATATATTTATTAGGGGTGGGAATCTCTAGACACCTCACGATTCGATTACGATTCAGAGGGCTGCGATGCGATTATAAAATGATTATCGATGCATCTTTTTTTTCTATACATGACTTCTATTTTCTTACTGTCTGAGGACTTGGTACTTTTAAAACAAAGTATTTGTAATGATCCATAATGCATTTACGTCCAATATCTTTTATTAATAAAACAAATGGAAGTGATGAGGCAAGTGAACTGGAAGGCTCTCATTAACTGCTCTTGTTTGGAGACGCTGCTGCCACTCATCTGTGATAAAATGCGCTGTTACGGTGAAATAAGATAAGTGGTAATGGATGACCACGGAGCGCGTATATATTCTTTAGTGATTTTATAACTTTGGTTTTGGTCTCGTGATAGAGGAGGGGGGGAGCGCGAAAGACTGCAGGTCACCTAGCAACGAGGTTACACCGAGCTGGTAGCGAACGAAAAAGGAAAAGAGAAAGACAGACGAACGTTTGGAGATGAAATGACTTATTCGCATTTATAAGCAGCGCAGTTGGTTTCCTGGTACGTCAAATCTGCAACGAGAGACTGTCGAACACTAACTAAACGATACGAAGATGAAGTCGTTTCTCTAATTTTTCCGTTCCACCTTAAATGGTGCCGCTTTTACATTCGGCGCCTCAGTCAGAATTTAAGGTGGAACGGGAAAGTTCAGCAAGAGGCTGGCGAATGAGAAGCGACTTCAGCCTCGTAAAACAACGGAAAGCTGAGAGACATTTTACAAGAAACTATTCAACTTTTGAGGAAAAGTTTTCTGGCGGAGTTGGAAGCTAAAGCTAAAGCTTAAAGCAGAGCAGAGTAAGTCTGCGCTTTCGATTATGTTTTTTAGCCTAAACTAGCACATTATCACATACTGGACATACATGTTGTGGCTCCCAAGGTGGTTTGATTTTTGTTGAAAGGACAAAATGTCTCTTCTTATCATTTGTGTTGTGACTCCTGATCTGACCTGGCTTTAAAGCAGAGAGAGCCGGTCGGATTTCTCACTCGTCCAGTTGTGTTTTTTTGTTATGTGCCGCCACAGACTGTCCGGGCGCTGCACTTACCCACTTCCAAGTTCCGCCCTTTGCGTTCCGTCAACATCACGTTATAAATTAAATATTTAGAAAATCGATTTTTGACGTTTGTGAATCGATTCAGAATCGTCCACGTCTGCATCTAAGAAACGATTTTTTCCCGCACCCCTAATATATATATATAGTGTGTGTGACTGTGCAAACTGCTGTGATTCTGTGAATGGAGTCTGTGTTTTTTTTTGCAAATATTCACTATTATAGTTTATTTACATGTAATTAGTATTGTACAAGGGATGGAGTTTGTTTCAGCCACAGAAGTTTTTGTTTGTTGGTCTTGCTCTTTTTCTGTACATTCATACATCAGAAACATCTCCACAGTGAATAGAGGTTATGCTAATGTATTATAACTGTACTGACCAACTGATCTGTGATTTTGAAATCCAGTGTGATATAAATATATATATATATATATATATATAAGAACATTTTTGCTTTCTTCTGTAGTTACCTTTTTGGTAATACCAATTATATTTATTTAACATATTGGAAATAATAAAACATACAACATTAACGTGCCACTGATGTCACTAAAAAGATTAAAGGGTTAAAAGAAATACGGTACTGAATGGTTGCTTTTAAAATCTCAGTTTCTCCAGCTGTTAGCCTGTGCTCTCATGCTGTGTAAGCTTTGTTCATTTAGTACAATATTAAGTGCCCATCTTCTGAAAAACTGGAGCACTTAGTAGTTTCTCTAATCCACACAGCCTGGATTAAGACTGAATGTAGCAAAGCTGTCACACTGGATTTCAGTCACAGATCAGTTGGTCAATACAGTTATAATACATTAGCATAACCTCTATTCACTGTGGAGATGTTTCTGATGTTTGAATGTACAGAAAAAGAGCAAGACCAACAAACAAAAACATCTGTGGCTGAAACAAACTCCGTCCCTTGTACAATACTAATTGCATGTAAATAAACTCTAATAGTGAATATTTACAAAAAACACAGACTCCATTCACAGAATCACAGCAGTCTGCACAGTCAGACACAGAGAAGCTGACTAGCCACTGGACTTGCAGCTGCAAGCTTACAAGCCTGCCTACATCATCCGATTTTCCCTCCAGTTGTTTTGAGATGGCCCACCAAAGAAGTCAAGGAATGAAACACTGTTTCAGTGAGAGATTACCAAATTCATTAGCTCAGACCTGAGACAGATTTAGACGTGACATTTATTAAATTGATAATTATAATTCTTAATCCTGCCTTCCGCCCAATGACAGCTGGGATAGGCTCCAGCACCCCACCGCGACCCAGAAGGATAAGCGGTTTTGATGATGGATGGATTATAATTCTTATATCGACTAGCAGCATAATTTCTTTTACTTCTAGGTGTGATTTTCACAGCCATTTTGCAGGCTGTAAGAATGGACCGATAGTATGGAAGAATGGAAGGATTCTGGAAGAAACACATGACTATAAAGAGAAATTCACATTTCCACAGATTTCACAGATTCCACAGATTTTTAAAGGTTCATGCATAACTCAGTGGTTGAGGTGTAATCAATGGCATTCAGAATGATTTGGTGTGAAGGTGATCACTGTAGAGAAACTAACTAGCTCAGATTTCATTACAGTGGTGTTGATAGAACCCAGGGGTCTATAATACAAATATGGCCATTTTATTCACTATCTAAAACAGCCAGTGAACCTGCCTTCTTTGTTTTTTATGTAATGGTGATGATGGTCAAATAGTGGTAAATCTGAAAACGTAAGCTTTCTTTGGGGCCTATTTATCTTGCAGCACTCTGAATGTACCTCTAAGCCATGAATTTATTTATTTAAAAAAAAAATTAGGTCAACAATTTATTACAAAACTATTGTGAAACAATGTCTCAGGCATCACGCAGCAGATTCATAGCCATTTCATGTAAAAACTTTCTGTAAGAGAGCTTTTACAGGCATTAAAATCTTCAGATGTCTAGTTCCTATCACCACCATTGTGAACAATTCTGACTTGGTAAGTTTCTCTGGAATGGAGCATTTCACATTAAACCATGTTGAGTGACTTTGTTTTCATGTTAACCATTTAATTATGCAGAAATCTTTAAAACTTGGCGGCATTTCCCTTTAAAACGCTCTGGCTTGAAAATTGCTGGCTCTTTGCAACTGTGAATCAAATGCCTCTTTTAGATTAACAGCGCCATCTAGAGGGGAAATAGACACTGGCCTAAAGAACTGCCTGCTCTCAAGGAGCTGCAGAGTGTGAAAATTCCCATTTTTGTTTGAAGTTTTTTCAAAACTGATATAAACTACTTACACTCTTCCAGACCCAGCTGATACGCCAAGTTCTGCAACCCTTTAACTTTTTCCATCAGGTTAGCTGTGGTCAGACTTCCCAGCTCTGTGACGGAAAACAACAGATTAAACAAGATATTCAATCTTTTACACAATTAAAATGACCTGGGGTGACCACCAGACATCCAGTCTAAAAATTGGTGAACGAACAAAAATGTGACAACATGAAAATGAACATGCATTAGTGACTTTGTAAAAATGCACCTTTCAACATTTCAATGTCTTCTGTCTCCAATTCTGCCATCCATTTTGGTGGAGAATTTGTGATTGGCTAATGAAAAAGAAGAAAACAAAAATAATTTCTGTTAAAACCATACAAATTAGGGTCAATCATAGATAACAGACTGTAATAATACTCACATTTTTAAAAGAAGCAGCAAATTCTGACACTCCCGGCACTGTTGCCCAAAATCCAAGGCAAATATTAAATACAAAAGAAACTCAATTAGTCCACATTAGTGACATTAGTGCAGAACAACAAAAATCTAAGCTATTCTAATAGTCTACATAAACCACTCCACACTTATGTTCTTATTTTAGATAGGTGTAGTTAAAGCAAAAAATGTGAAGCTTACATTGCTCTGGCCACAGGTCAGGTGAAGCCCGATCAAGCTTTTCATAACTCAACAAAGAGGACTCAAAGTCTTCACCTAAGAAAAAAGACAGAAGCTGTTCATTAATTCAATCTCAAATCTTATGGTTGATGAATGTATCAGTTTTGGATAACATTTCTCACTGGTTTATCTTTTGGGGGATTTGGCGTCATTTTTGTTTGACAATTACTTTGCTAGTGAAAATTCTGCAGTGAAAATCTGTTTCAGCCTTTCACCAGGTTTCAACGGTGTCTCGAAAACCAGTCAACAGTTCATCCAACTTTCAGACTCTCGAGTATGTAATTAATAAAATGTACTGGACGTCATTAAAATATATCACATTGCACCATACATGTTAGATTGTGGCTGGTGCTTAAGTTTGGAGACAACAACTTTCACAAAGTTTTAGATCAGGACAGATCAAAAAGTGTAAAAATCTGTTGTACTTAACAGCTAATGCTCTAATAAAGTGAAAAACGGAAACATTAACATATTAATATACAGTACATTTTCAGCCACTCTGTATTGTACCAAATTCTGAATTTTGTGAATCGTTACGCCCCAACCCGAGTCACAACTTTATGGATCAGCCTGTGTGCTATTAGTAATCCTAGCTAAAGATATTAATGGTATAAGGCTATTCTGATAATCCTGAGATGTTCTCACCCTCTTGCCATTGCTTTTTATTATTGAAGTAACCAAAGAGCTGGGATTCACATCATATCTCTCTCCTCTTACTCTTACCCTTTATCCTCTTTGAGAGGGGTGGGGCATGCATTTTAAAATCAAATGAGAACAACAAACAGTCAGACAAATAGTCATAAACAGCAACAATAAAAGGTCTGAGTGAACAACCGTTTAGTCTACAGAGTTTGAACGGGTAACTGTAGCTCACTGGCTGTATTTATTTATTTATTTTTTTAATTTTACTCGATTCAAATACATCATTTCCTCACGAATGATTAAAATACAACAAAACAGTTTTGTCTTTCAGTTTACTTTCGGCAGTGGTCGTATTGACGTAATATTTTATTTTTCCTAGCAGTGTGCCACCCTAATAAAATCTCTGGGTCTTACAGCCACATTATTCTAAAAGTTCTAGATTCGCCCCTGTCGAGTCATTTACCCCAATGGTTCTCTAACCGGTCCTCAGAGACACCAGACGCTCCGGATTTTTGCTCCACTTGGAGCGGTTTGAGGACCATTAATTTAACCAATGACCTGGAGGTCGACTGGTACAGTACAACGTCTTCAGTATAGCAATAGTGAAAATATTTGTTATCTAGCTAAACAGCCAAATTAATACAAACACATAAAGATATAAGGTCGAACCTGGTGGTTTGCGCAGGCTTTTCTCAGTGTATCTTTATGTTAGCTACTGATATGTTAGCAGTTTATCATTAGCAGTCAGGCGCAAGTTAGATAATGACATCTGTTTTCCCAGAAATTCAGCACGTCTGAACCCAGATGTGAGGTTTGTACTGACTTTACTACTACTGAATAAAATACTTCACTTGTAAGTTTCAAAAATATTTGTTAATATTTATATTTAAGATAGTTTTGTTCTATTTCTGGTCACCTTTTTTAGACAACCGTTCCTCTTACTAGAGGACAGTGGTCAAAATCGTTAAAACTGAATCCATTTAGACACAGATATTCCAAACAACGGCTAATTTCAGGTCCACCACTAAATAATGCAATAAATAATATATATATATATATTTTTTTTTAAGAAACCTGCTGCTACATGGTGTCGCTGCCTGACCAATGTTAGAAACGTTTATCCTCTACATTTCCGTACCAGGCCGTGATTTTAGAAACGCCATGAAACAGCAGCGTTTTTATTATGCTGCAGCCTGAAAATACTCATTGAAATACCATGAAGGGTTTACAGTATATCGACAGTCCAAGACTGTGTTTAGAGACGGTTGTTGTCAGTAAAAGGAGGAGTCAGTGCTGCTTCCCTGCTGGATGATCCGCGCTGTTACGGCAGCGGACAGTAAATACACTGGCAGTAAATACGGTCTGTTAGCAGGAGCTACTAGCACAACTGGAGACTCAAAAACAAGCGCCGACGGTCGATTTTTAAAAGTAACCGTCAGTCATTTTGAAGCTCAGGGCACCGTGTACTGAAGAGTACATATACACAGAGCATTTCACACAGCAAACACCTCACACTACATTTACACAATAACGACGGACAAACTTGATACCGGAGAGGAATTAAATTTTACCTCCATTCGGAGACGCCATCTTGACAACCATACACGTGATCTCCTACAGCCAATCGTTCGCCAGATGCTGATTGAATGACGCGAATCGTCCCGCCTCCTCCTTTGGCATAAAGGTTGCTGGGAAATGAAGTCCAGATTACAGACCGAGCTAATAACGTTGACTAACAAACATCAGCATTAGCGTCGAACAAATACATATTTAACATATGTGGTACTTTTAGCGTGTGGTCATAGCACTTGTCTGGTGATGGTGACTCGGTCGTAGTCATCAGCACAACATATAAGTCCTGGGTCTGCATTCACAAATCTGATCTAGGGTGTGTGTACACACAAACACACACACACACACACACACACACACACACACATTGGGTTGGTGACCACTGTCTTATGGGCATGCTTGTATTTTAAGTATGGAAGAAGACCTGAGCTAGCATGCAGGTGTGTAGTTCTGGACAAAGGTGCGGAGAGAACTGCAATAGTCAAGTCAGTACATGACTAGAGCCTTAAAGTGGAACTTGAGCAGCCCCTGCAATCAGTAAGCGCCATATTCTCCTGACATTGTGAAGTAAGAATCTGCAGGACCAGATGGGAGAGGTTATGTTATCTGAGAGATTAAGTTGATCATCTATGATAACTCCAAGGTTTTTAGCCCTGCGTGAGAGATGGATGGTGAAGGAGCCTCAGCACAAAACATTTTTACAATTTTTTCAGTCTTACTTACAGAGCAATTAAACATTATAAATGGGAAGATGTACAAACAACCCCTATACCATTTTTAAAAATATTTCCTCAAAGTCTGGTGCGAATTTACAAAGTAATAAACCAATGAGAAACAACAACAGGAAACTCTTGTAAAAAATATTTATTCTTTACAGTGGTGGAAAATAATCCACTTGACGTCAATCCAAAAACAATGTTAATCCAACAAAGTAAACGAAACAAACGCTACTGCTATTTGTTCCTCACTCTCTACAGTCCATTACCAGACCATTAATACAGGAATCAGAACTTTTAATCAGAGGACAGCAGTTCAAAAACGACACTGAAATCACTTTCATATTCATACCCTATAGAATAAGCTTCCATTTAACACAGTTTAGTGGTCTAATCCCTTATCTCACGTCATTCAGTCTGCTTTCATATACTTCACCTAAAAGGCACTTAATTTTAAGTTGTTTACATCAGTCACAGCAAAAAAGTAAAGTCCACAAAAGTGTCTCACCAACATGTAAATAACGACTTGCGTAGTGTTTCACAATACTGATCACATTCTAATTGTGAATGTAGCCTGTCACGTAACAAAATTACACAAATAATGTAGACAGTTTACAATTTGATTATCATTTATGTGTTAACTAGGCCTGTTTGTAGTGTACTGAATAAAACAATAAAAAATTTAACTCAATAAATAACAAACATAGTTGTAGCGTGATTTTATAAAATGAGACTTGGTGCAAGACTGTAGTGTAACACTCAAGGGGCCTTTAAAAAGATGAAATGTAGCACACTATATTTTAGCAGCTCGCTAGTCACTAAACTAGTCTGAAATTAAAAAAAACCTTTCCTGGCCCCTGCCATTTTAAAATCTTCTAAAATTCCCAAGAATCCAGCCACCGGAGTCCAGCCATGGAGGAGGTGGGGTCATGAGCTAACGGCCCACTCATGCCATAGGAGAGAGGGTGGAACAAATAGAAGCTGCACAGAGAGAAAGACGATCAAATGCTTTAGTTAAAGGAGGAAAGTAAGTAAACAAAATATATGTACTGCATATCACTGCACTCTTATCAAAACTTTGTATCTGCATTTATCATTTGAAAACACCAACTGTCTTTTCCATTGTGTGAACATTTCATGAAGATGTACCAATAGAAATGGTCTAAAATTATTTAAAATAAAATCGTTACATTAATGTAACTTAAAATTAAGAATATTTATTTCCCCCATTCTCCTGTAAAGTTACCATTTTCCGAGACACAATATTTTGTTACAACAGTGACGGTCAAGAAGCAAGCTTCGGCTCTTACCTGTAGAGGATCCCAACCAGGAGTACTATCTGACCCCCTCTTAAAATACGCTTTGAAATAGCTGGACTAAACAGGAGATCCGCATTCTGTAGAAATGTGTCCAGTGATATTCCTTTAAACAGATGAAGAAAGTTTCATAAGTTGTGACAAATTATGACGTTATTGCACAGTGTTCATTTTATTATGCTATATGGTTAAAAATATGTGGACACCCCTCCTAAATATTGAGTTCAGGTGTTTCAGCCACACCCATTGCTAATAGGTGTATAAAAGCAAGCACATAGCCTTGCAATTTCCATAGACAAACACTGACAGTAGAATGGGTCATTCCCATAGAATGGGGACTTTAAACATGGCAGTGTCATAAGATGCCACCTTTACCACAAGTCAGTTTGTGAAATGTCTTTTAAGCTAGATCTGCTCCGGGCAACTGTAAGTGCTACTATTGTGAAATGGAGGCACTTAGAAGCAACACTCACTAAGTTCCAAACTGCCTCTGAAAGCAACATCAGCACAAGAATTGTGCGTCAGGAGCTTAACATAACAGAGGAAAGCCTGGTTATGTTCCAGCATGTCTTTGACCCTGTGCACAAAGTGAGGTCCATAAAGACGTGGTTTGGAAAGTCTGGTGTGGAGGAACTTCAGTGGCCTGCACAGAGCCCAACATCAGTGCCTCACCTCACACATGCTCTCCTGACTAAATGGGCACAAAGTCTCACAAGACACACAAGTTTAATGGAAAGCATTCCCACTAAATCCAAGGTTGTGATGGCCACAAAGGAGAGCCAACTCCATCTTAATGCATATGGTTTTGAAACTGGATGTCCAACAAGCTTTTGTAAGTGTGATGGTCAGGTGTCCACGTACATTTGGCCATACAGTGTATTTTTTGTTATTAACAAGGGAGGAAAATACTAGAGTAACTGTATTTCCTGGACTTTTGACTTTTACATACAAGAGTAAGTTTGAATGTCAACACTCTGACTTTCACAAGTATAGTGTTGGCTCCATATTTCCACTTTTATTTGAGAAAGACATTTGAAACAGTACCAACACATTCACTTAAGTAGAATACCTCTGTACTTTTTCCACTCCTGGTTATTGATAAAGGCCTGCTTTGTAACATAGCTCAGGAGAATGCTATTAGATCAACCCAAGCTCCAGGCTAAAAGCTATCAGTTCTAGGACACTGCTAAAAATGAGATGTTGCATATATAATTATATTGTCATTAACCTTTGAGCTCATGGGACTTGCTGAAGTATTATCAACCTATTTGAGCCACATATAAGAAGCATATTGTTTCTCTTTGAAAGAAGGTAGCCTTGGTTACATTGTTCCTAAATACCTGTAAGCATGCTGCTGAAGAGCATCGCAGGGAAGTAGTGGTGGTAGTAGAGAATACGGCCCATGGTGTAGAAGGGCAGGTAGTGTAGCAGCCAGCCTAAGAAAAGCAATCCACCCCCTTCCATAAGAACCTGGCAGTGTGCTACAAGAGTAGGACTGCTATTATTAATGATGAAAACACATAGTGAATAGATCATGACAGACAATTTAGTTTTACTAAATTTGCATAACTATGATTTAATCAGATAATGTATATAAATATGTATATTAGTGTTATGATAAGGGGAAAGCATCTGGTTTTTGATTCTTTAATGCAGTATAGGTCAAAACTAAGGCCTTTCACAGTTAACCATTGAAATATTAATGTATTTATGTAAGCTGTTATTTAGGGGTGGGCAGTATGGCAAAAATATAATTATCCTTCAAGACATTTCACAATACATGATATAATTTACAATATTTCATTTTTCTGAGGTTTAATAAGACAGAATAAACAAAAAGAGCCAGTATATTATCAAAAGGTATTAATACACTGACTTTTATTTAACACTTCACATACAGCTGTGCACTAAATCCACTTAAACATGAATTCTCTTTGTAAAGAAGCACTGACGATATCCATGATACACTCAAAAAAGCATATTGTGATGTAACTTATTGATATCATCATACCACCAACCCCTACTAGAAAACACATTTAAATGCATTTATGAATAACCAATATTTCATTCAAAATAAGCACAAATTGTTTCCTTCTGTAAAATCACTAAACAAACACCAAGACTCAAGGTCAAGAACAGAAACATTGCTTGCTTACCTTTCCTTGTTCCTTCTAGCTTAGCTCCTCTCTGCAAGGCCACAGAGCACAATGATACCATGACAACAAACAGCCCCAGACTGAATAGGTTTAGCCACCAGATCACCTGAAGGAGAGAAGAGCAACAGACTTCATGCACATCTCAGACTGACTTACACTGAATCGTTATCTCCTCAATGTGTTTCTTGTATACAATGTGTAGATTGTGGGATAGGCACAATGTCTGTGTTAAAGCAATAGTTAGCAAATTTACACAACTTTCCCCTTTAGCCCCTTTATGCGGTTAATCAGAGACATGTTCGGTGTCTGAAATTTAGTATCTTTAGTTTGTAATGAAATTGTATACTCCACCAGTTAGCACTGGTGCAAACTGCACGCCAACATCACACATGAAACGGCATCAAGTTTTCAAAAAATTCAGTATAATTAAACGTTCACAAAGAAAACAATTAGTCAGTGTGGTTTGATGTGAAATGCTAGAGAAACTTGCAGATTCCAAATTGTCTACAGTGGTGGTGGTAGGAACCAGATGTCTAAAGAATTTAAAGCTCCCGAAAGGAATTTTTTCTTTTTATATAAAATGGTTACGAATATGCCGCTTGATGTCCAAGACACTGTTTTACAACAGTTCAGAGATTTTGACCTAAAATGTTTGTTATGTAATGTTTAAAAAATGTTTTAAGGGCATGGTAACACAAAATAGTCCCCAAAGAAAACATTTTTTAAGTCATCACTATTTTACCATTATCAACATTACATATAAAAACAGGAACCAACAGAACTTGTGGTTCTAGTTCTAGTTAATGTTTGACCTGTTTCAGAGGTTATTGTAATAGTTACAACATTAAAATGGACCGCTACATGCTTGTAATGTTAGCATTAGCTAAATCACTAGCTAATGTCACCTTAAACTCTTTAGAAAAAATGGTTATTCTAAAAAAATAGTGATCAACACATTAACGTACTCTAGTTTACATTTTGGGGACCTTTTTTTCATGTACGTTGATGGTGTTTGGTGACTCACTTGTCAAGTAAATAATTAGCTAAACTGTCTATGGGCTTCGGGCTGCAAGCATCAGCAAACAGAGAGAATGTACACGGAGGCGCCGTTTTCCATTACCTGATTTTGTTATTATGTAACTGTCATGTCAATTCGAACAGGATTTCTGAATCATAGGGAGTAATTCACTCTGGAAGTATTACTTAGCAGACTTTTCACATTTGTACTGGGTTACAATCATGGATCTCGTCAATGATCACTCATATTACAAAAACTCCACAGGTAAAATGAATCCAGCTTGGGTTTTTGGAATGTTGAATGACCTAAACATCGAGTCTGTGTGCGTGATGTTAATATGTGAAGACGTATGACAAGGTCCAAAACTCCAGTGAGATCTGACTCGACACCTCTGACTTCTGAATTACTATTTCAGGCTTTATAGGGAGACTCGCAGCCATGCAAAATTATATTTCAATGTGTTTTTTTCTCCTGATTCAGTAATCCTACTTTTTTGAATTTTAACAAAAATATCTTATATAGTGCTACATTAATATGATTTGTATTTGATCCAATCTAATCAATGAAAAAGCTATTTTCATTTTGTTCTTGATGTAACAAACATAAAATGACTGTGGAAAACACTTGCAATAGCCCTAAACACTCAAAGATCTCTGAGCCTTTTCACTGTTCCATGGACTGCAACCTCCACCCTCGAGTGCCACTGGGTCCTTTTGGTTGTGAGCAGGTACCAAAAAGCAAAACAAGAACCTATGGTGCTGAATCAGTGGCCAGTGTACAGAGCAAGTTCCAGTTTTTTGGTGTCAAAGGTTCCGGTACTTAAAACAGAGTTGATTATGTGGTTTCTCATGCTATGTGTCATGACAATGGTATCTATATTTACATGGATCAAAACAGTGGTAGCAGCCATCTTGTAAATGAATTTCGTCAGTACTTTTATCTATTTTCATGAATACAACATGAGCACGTCAATTTGAGATTAGTTAACAACACAGCTTGGTGTGAGGCAAGTGTGTGATAATTTAGGCATGCAGTTTGTACAATGCTAATTGATGAAGTTTTAAGTTTCCATTACTTGTTAGCTCCATTAGACTTAAAGGGGCCCTAAACAAGCAAAATTCAGACACCAAAAATGTCTGATCTGGCTGAAATACTGTTGGGGTAAGGGGAAAATTTGATGTTTTGCTTAACTCAAAGGCACCCAAGATCATGCACATCTTCACTGTGGGTACTAAAATAAAATGGAAAGCAAGAGAAAAGCAAAGACTTACAGGGTTCCCCAATAGGTACACCCGGTACTCCGTCTCATTCACCCCAGAAAACCTCAAGCCCTAACCATCACATTAACAAGGATCAGATGTCAGTTAATTAAATCTGCTGACCAATGGCGGTCATCTTACTCTTGGGTGGTGCAACAGTTTCAGTGTAACATACCTGGTAGTTGATGGGCCAGTGCCAAGGTTTAGAGTTTACCTCATTGTCCTTAGGTTTCAAGCCACTGTTGCCCTGTTAAAGACATTAAAATTGCATCAGCACTTCACACTTCATAGCAACATCAAGTTTGTAAGCTGCCTTGTTGGGCTCGTCTTACCCTGATCATGACAATATGAGACTCTAGCAGGATCTCCAGGAAGGAGGGCTTGAGCACATGCAAACTGATGTTGGGCACTACAAAGATACCAAGGTGGTTAGATCAAAACAGCATTGTGAGTAACAAGCAATTAAATATGTTAAACAATTCCAAATATGATTTACACTTTGGGTTGATGTGATCCTCAATGTTCCACTGAGAGTTAGGAGTTTCCTTTAAATATGGACTACATGTGACCTCCACTTGCTCCCAGCCCCTTTAAAACAGTGACACATCAACAGAAATTCAAAAAAATGTATTTATTTAGCTATACATATAAAACTACTTAACAATGCATTTATTCAAGTCACAGTTCTTTTACTTCAGTGTTTTATTAAAACATCAGAACAAAAGCACCATTTTTAAACTTGGGGGTGTTTCAAAAAGCAGAATTTCTCAGTTTGATACATATCTTAAGCCAAAAATAAGACTGTCTAGTATGAGAAGAGGTAAGGGGAGTTCCTACTGGACAGTCCTCACTATTGGTTTAAGTTATTAAGCTAACAGAGAAATCCAGCTTTGTGAAAACTTCTGATTTGGTCTTTGAGTAAGACCAAGACCAAGCCTTTGTATGGGCAGATGAAAACTGACTAGCTCCCTTCCTCCCCAGCACCACAGGCCATGATCTCACCATTTTGGGAGGGTCTTGCCTGAGGAATACAGCACGCAGCCGGTGGAGCGGTGCAGGAAGCGCACTTTACTGCGCAACACCTTTACTGGGTCACCTTTCTTTCCCCCACACACCTCCACCTGCCAGAGGTCATTAGGGTCACCTGTACCATTCTGAAAAGGGAGAAGCAGCTCTGATTACAATCTGAAATTCTTTATACCCTTGAATAAATGTCTATTTAACAGTTTTACCCCAAATGTAATAAATGCTTAGTGTTTGAAATTTGCTTCTTTACATTTGCAATTGAGCTATAAGGCTAATGTAGATAAGTATTGAGAGCTTATACTCAATTAACATTACATGCTGCATACCTTAATTATCACGCCTAATAATCTCAAACAGACTTACTAATATGGTTTCTTGCACTGCATGACAATGTTATGTATGAAAATAGACAAATACATGTTTCAGAACTAAAAACAGTTATTAAAGCAATAATGCTTCAAAGTGATAGATTACACTCACAATGCCATAGCCGGTCACCTGAAGGTGCTTCTTGGTCAGCGGCGCCTCATGGAGGTGACTGTGGAGGTTCCGGGTGGTTCTGATTGAGAAAAGCAAAGACAAAGCAATAAGACTAAAGGACAGGTGTTGGCTGTGCCACAATAACCAAACCACATTTGCTGAAAAGACTTGCAGACTGGATACAGTCATGATAAAAAATTGGAGTGCCCCTGGTCAAATGACATTTTGTTAATAGGTTTAACCTAAAATACAAAAATATTAATAATTATTTGCAAAAATAGACCATCATATTTTGGATGACCCAATTTATAATAGGGTCTTTCAAAAGGAAAGATCCCAAGGTTGAGCCACCTAAAAGTGAAACAGCCACTGTATGTCAGAATAAAAAAACAAAACCAGGTATAAACCAAAACAAAGAAAATTACAGCAGTGAGTAAGAGGCCTTATTGCGCTGTGACAAAAACAAGCAGGCAGAGTGTCTTTAGGTGACATATCTACTTTGCTCCTCTCAAAACTGCCAGACTGACAGTCAGTGGGCTTCTTTCCATTCTGGAAAAGTAACATTGAGAGTTTCACCACCTCATTCAAGAGGAACTTTATGAAGGATTTTGCTTACAGCTAGGATATTTGTAACTCAGTTTGAGCCAGTTTGAAGAGCTTTTGGAGATGTTTGGATCATCCATGAGAAAGCAGTAGGCAAACAAATTCTGTTACCAGCAAAAGTTCACAAATATCAGACAGAGTGTGAACAAAATATTGCATTTTCTCCATTCAAAAATGATCAGTTATACATGTAACTGAATTACTTTACAGTTGTTTGAAAATACTGCAAGAATAAAACGCATTTGGTGTGTAAAGACTTTAGGCTTCACATGTTTGAGAACAGAAAATGAGTAATTACCACTCTGTGCTGAATGCTCAGAGGCCTTTTTTTAAAATAAAGCTTTAAAGTCAAACAAATTATGCCGTCAGTTGGAGGCTAAACAAATATGCATCTAAACCAATTAAACTGAGGGAGACCTTTTGCAGCTTTCATTTCTTCAGCATGTCACATGTATTGCATGTATTGTGTTGCATTATATTATAAAATCAAGCTACACTGACTATTCTATGCATCAAGCTACATTGATTATTACACAGTGTGTGTGTGTGTGTGTGTGTGTGTGTGTGTGTGTGTGTGTGTGTGTATATATATATATATATACACACACACACACACACACACACACACACACACACACACATTATATTCATTGGCAAATGATCTGGTCGGTAAATTCTTGTTAAGATGTGAGTTAAAAATGGTTGGGAACCTCTGGTTTTTCATCAGAAATGTTAGGCAGTGATGAAATATTTCATCTTTTTCATTAAAAAAACAAGACTATGAAAAAAGCTGGGCGGTGCCAAAGTATCCTCCTTTAATGTCTCTGTGTGCACAAGTTTATTTTAAAATAGAGACAAACGCAGAGCCTATATAAAAATCAAATTATGATGTTTTGTGAATTAATTCTGAATTTTTCAACAGAGATTTTCCATGTGCCTTTAATCAACTGTTTTTCCACCCCTAATAAATATGCCACGTTTGTTACGTCATTGTTTCAGATTGTTAATTAAGGAACTGTTATAAAGGCTACTGACTCAACTACACACAGTCAGGAAAAGAGGTTCATCAAGGTACAAACAGTGTAAATATATCCTCAAAAGGTACAACAGTGGTTGCATGGGTTTTCAAGGTCCAACTGTGTACCTTATACAAGTTTTTTACGGAAAAGATATGTATTTGTACCTTTTTATAACCTAATGTTTTAAAACAGAACAGTCAGTACAACGTAATTTTTTTTTAATGGAATATGGTACAATTACATTTCCTATCTAAAGATACTAATGACATACCGTTGAGCATACCACCCTTTTTCTGAGAGTGTACACCAAAATGTAGAACACAGTAATTAAACCCAACACACTCACTCTTTGTGCTCTAGTCGAATGATGTCACCATGTCGAATGAGCTCTGTGAAATCTAAAACACAAAGACAAACAAATTGACACCACCACAAAGGATCTACTGGGGTAAAAATACTGCACACACACACACACACACACACACACACACACACACACACACACACACACACACACACACACAACCTCATACACAAAACTTTCCTCTCACCATCACTGTTAGGTCTCTTGACCAGCCACAGGTTGTTATTGTCTTTGTGCAGATAGGCAGTAACCTATTAGGGTTAAGCAAGATTGCAAGACAGATTATCTTAACAAAAGGTCACTTAATATATTTAAAACATTTTCTTTATCATTAATATTTGAGGTAAACATTATTATTTTTTTCAACAGTGCTCCAAACAAACATTTACTAAAGCAAAACCACCAATAGGATGAAGTAATAATTGCTCAAGCAGAGCATTCTGGTTACGGACAAGTAATTAGTACATCAAAGATTTTGTGGTGGTAACAATTCTGAGAATGTTATTTAAGGAGGAGGTGTATCCTATTGCTGTATATGTCCAGTAATTGAATGTGAGTGAAGAGAGAAACAGAGGGACAAAGTACAAACCTGCTGCTGGTGCGCTCCAACCCCTTCTGGGTAAAGATGCCAGTGGGAATGAAGATAGCCTCCAGCTATCCTCAGGTTCTTCAACGTTATTATAGAACCATATGCCAGGTCTGCTTGCAGGCAGGAAATGAAAGCAAAAGCACCTTGGATGTGATTTGGTTGTACATACCTTTTTCACACATCCTAGAGATCTAACATCTGACACAGCAAATCAAGGCTTCCAAGAGTATCTACATTAACAGGTAGTGCTTCAAATAACCCAACTACCACATGAAAATGTACTTTAACTTTGAAGTAATACTACACACTACACAGGCAAAACACTTTAGGCTGAATGCTGATTACTAGCATGCATTGTGTTATAATACTTAAAGTTATTAAAGACAAAGATGCAAAACAAAGATGATGTAAGGAGCAAAAACTTAGACTCTAGGGAAAGTTATATGGACTGTAGATCGATCACCCTGTATCCTAGATCCATTTGTTTGTTTGGAAACTGTTTCCAAACTGTTGCAGACTTTTTAACAAGGCCTCCTACTCCACAATCAAATTACATTATTTTCATGTCCATCATCCTTCAAAGAAGGTTTTTCTTCATGCAATATCCCACTATAGCCTATTCAGGATAACATCCCAAAAAACCTATAACTGTTCTGAAGACAAACAGTAGTTTATTTATTATATCAACTCACAAATACTCAGGTGTTATTAGGCTTAACTTCAAAAAATAATAGTAATAGTAATAATTATCTAATTTTTTAATCTATATTTTTGTGATTTGAATTTTTCTACATCATTTGAACTCAGAGGCTACCCATTACACTGTGTGAACCTTTCATGATAAATGGACCAATTGAAATGCCATAAAATTGCATGGAATAAAATCTCTTTACGTTAACTTGCATTAAAAGTAAAGAATGTTACCATTTTGTATATGAATTTAAACTTTGCAGAACAGAATTTGGCAGCTCTGTTTCATGATGTTTAAAATACTTATGAGCTGTTAAGTTACTGTGTGTTCTTAAATAAACAATTGTTCTACAACTGTTCAAATGTACTCACACTCTGGCATGGAGGCACTGTGCAGGTTGTTTCCAATTAGTCGTGACTGGAAAGCAGAGCTAAAGAAACCATCTCCTGGACCACTGGGGGAGGTAAAATGGCACAGGGATGTTAGTAGTTTGTTTTGCCTCCACTGCATTAATATTCTCACTAAATGGTAGTAGAATTACCAGCTTAGATAGCAGTGCTAACAGCACAAAGACGTTTCAGCATACCTTCTGTTTAAGATGACGAAGTGGACAGCAAATATTGTAGTGTACAGGAACAAGGGGAGCATTATCAAACTGAAAATTCGGGCAATCAAGTGCTTCATAAAATCCACCTGAAGAGAAACAAACTGCACGTAAACCTCAAGCACATCCAATTCATATGTGCTAAGACAAAAAAATAAAATTCGTCTTACAGGTGAGATATATGACAATAATTTAAACTACCTCACGATATGCTTTTCATCAATACTTGAAAAACACTGTCCAAGGCCATTTCATTAAACGGATACTTTTGCTACATCTGTTGTAAACATGCTCACCTCCTACAATGTGGTGCCACAGTAGTCCCTACCAACATTTTCCGGTTTAAAGACTTGTAAAACAACCTTCTGATGATGTACCTTGAAGGTGGGCGGAACCTTTGAAAACCTACAAGCACTTTAGCAAGCTAATAGCCCTTACTGCCGGGAAACTAAATATCATGTCTGTATTTATTTATCTCCATATCAGTGGCTACGCTAGCAGTCAGGATCGGCAGAGCACCACAGGCTTTCCCAATGGTTGCACAATGTATTTGCTTGATGCATTCTGGGTATTGTAGTTAGAGAACACTGATGGACAAAAACACAATACCGTGCAGACTTTAGGCTGGAATGTCCCTTTTTAAAAAGAGACGTAGAAGGACGCCTACATGGTGTAGCTGACTAAAGTGTCTCCTTATTGAGATAAGTCAAATTATTAAGATCATGACTTTAAATCTCACAGAGAGCATAGTTGGTCCTGTTTAATTGTTTGTAGTGATGCATAATAAATGAAACATTAAATAAAATCCTGTATTTATAATCAATACATCATTCCATATTTGATCTTTTTTCCCACTACTGCATCGTACCTGTTTCAACTCATCAAACTTTAGAAAAACTAAATATTGCGCATATCATGTACCATAAAAATGACCTGTGTGCTATATTTTTCCCATAATGCACACCAATCCTTTATCATAATTTGTACCAGTGACAGATGGAGATCCCCCAGTAGCCTCCAGAGGTCCCATGCAGTGTTGATGCCCACTAAAAGGATGATGAACAGCCCCACAAACTTCACCCCCAGAGAGCCAGAGAGGTTCACCCCAGTCAGAAGCAGCCACAGCCACCAGGACCAGCTGAAAGGCCTAGCATATGATTTTTAGAATGGCAAACTGAGCAGAGACGTACAAAATAGCACTGAATATCAAACTGTTTAAAGAATCCGGAGTCAACAAAAATTATACACATTACTGCGCAAAAGTCTTAGGCACCTTGAAACCATTACCTTGGCAATAAGTGTTTTTCTTGTACAATCACCATAAACACACAAATAAAGAAAAAATAACAAGAATTTCATATTTTGAAAGAAGTTGTTGATATCTTGTGAGCGAGTATAAAGAAAGTTTGGTTCCAGATTTCTCTGGGACAACCCAAACATCGAATGGATTTGTTAAATACCATCATCAGCACAGCTGATTTAACATAATGAAGTAATGATTAGCCAAACCAGGCACTGGAAAGATAAATAACTTTTTAATTCTAATTTCTCTTTTACCTTTACTTTTTCTCTGTACCTTTGCACAGTACAATATATATTGGATAATTAAAAAAAACACAGTAGACATTTATTATTAACAATAAGAGAATGACTGAGTTGACTAATGACTAGTATTTCAATTCCAGATTCAAGGTAGTTTCACTGTGTCTCAGGCTTTAATCTGGCATTAGTTAGTTAGCTTAATGGGCACATTTCATGGAAAACTGAATTTCTTAAAATTGGATGTAATATGTAAAATACTGTGAAAGCTTTAAAACATATTCAATCTGCATTCCATACAAAAAGAGCCTGTTTTGAATTCACTGTTTGTGTGATGTCATGCAAACTAACTCTTTTATTTATGTACATCCACCTATTTAGCCTACTACACCCATTCATGATGAAGTTATAAGAAGCTTTTCAGCCTGAAATGCTTTCTGAATGAAGCACAACACAGGACAGCCAATCTGGACACAGTTCATTTGCATATATCACTCTTAAAGGGACAGAAACAAAAACAGCCTGTTTAATTCTAGGGGATAAAATGAGGTTGGAAAATGGTCATGTACAAATGAATTATGACTGTTTTGGGTACATAAAACCACACCAACATTATAAATGGACCTCAGGGAAAACATTAAAATAGGAGAAGAATGTAGGATAAAGCACAGCTAAGTTTAGCACAGATATTGATGCTGTGTTTTTCTCTACCTGAGTCTCTGCCGGTTAAACCTGACCATGCTCAGGACGGCTCCCATGATGAAAAACATTAGGATGGGGTCCAGTAGGATGTACTGGGAGAGGGTGATGAACCCAGTGTCTGATGGAGGTTTAAATGACATACAGTTTTATCAGTATGTTTTGTATCTCCTGTTTATGGTTTGTGGCTCAAATAGAGCAAATATGCAAATGTAATCAAAATACATGCATTGCTTTGTCATACTGACCAAAAATGAGCAGGGAAGCTGTGATGAGTGCAGCCGGAGTAGAATGGGACAATTCCAGGACCACCAGGAACGCAAAGGGAGGCAGACATGAACCAAGAACTGCACAGAACTGAACATGCATTACACTATCAGCAATGTTTTAACAACAGAAATAATAAAGGAAAGATAGTAGGAAAAGTAGTATCATTACTATACACCATATTGCACCAGTAATCATTGTGTTACACATGCATTAAGAACACATTAGTATTACTAGTAAACTTTCTGAATCAAGCCTAAACAATACAGTTCGGTTGTAAAACTTTGTTTTAGAAGTGCTTTGCAAAGAAAATGTTTCAAAGTCTTTTTATAAAATACACTGTATTGCCTCGTCAATCCGTTGTTTGAAACCCATCCTTTTAGAACTAGTCATAGGATTTTCAATAAATAGCCTCAAAATTAGTGTAAAAACCATATATAGAGTCAGTGGGTTATCAAAAATGCTGACATTTATAATCAATATGGCCACACATGGGTCTTCAGAGGACTCTTTTTATAATTATTTCCTACTACTACTAGTACTGATCTACAGGGAGTTTCACTCGAAAGAGGCCCCGAATATTCTGTAATAACTCTCTCTAGGACAAAGCAATCTGAACAAAACAACGTGCAATGAGCTCTTTAGTATATGGAGCTTCCAACAAGCTGGGATGCCCCTGCATCGGAGCGATGAGGTAGGCGCCAAACAGCCGTTGTGACGTTTAACCTCCGTTTGCAACTTCCGGGTGCATACCCCCATACCCCTTCATGTGTCTGGCAGAAAACGGAGATCACTTCCAGCATCGCATGTAATGCAATCGATCACACATACGTCAAGGTATGTAGCGTATTTTTTGGTTCAGATTGCTTCATCCTAACAGGAGTTAGAGCAGAATATTCGGGGCCTCTTTCGAGTGAATCTCCCTGTATAATTTGCATAGTGGTACATTCCCAATATAAGGCATTCTCCAAGTAATCTTAAGAATGAAGAAAGATATTATGAGAAATGTGTTTACCCCTCTCATCCCCCAGTAGTTGTGGTGCTCATATTTGTCTCCTGGTTTGATGAAAGGAAAAGTCCCATCATAGCCAGTCAGATATCCAGCAAGGCCAATCAGCATCTGAGTTCAAACAACAAAAAAATAAGTTTAAAAAAAAGACACTTATTTTATTCTAGCAACCCATCTTACAACCTCACAAAACTTCCCAGCACCGTATCGGTATATCTTACAATCACAATTACAATCACTATGTTGATACTGGTGTGATATTAAGATTTGATCAATTATTCTTCAAGATTCCATTGAAAAACCCAGCACAGACAGAAAAATATGCCATTATTTTTTTTGTCTACAGAATTGTAACAGCTGTACATATCTTAGATGAATTTCTTGATCTTATTAACTCAAATATTTTTATGGCTTTATCAGTACAGAATTTCAATGGCCATGAACATGCTTTATATTATTTTACGCTGTGTTAATATATTTAAGTTTATTAAAATAAGTTACATTTCCAATTTGTTAGGTTTACTTATCTTGGCTTTGTACCTACACTCATTGGACATTTTTGTGTTTTCAGAAACACCTACCATATACAATTGTATGCAAAGGTTTGAGCACCCTTGATCAAATAGGCCTCATTCACCAACTGTTCTTAAAAAGAAATTTCTTCTTAAAACCCTCTTATGCGATTTTCACAAAGACTCTGACATTCACCAATGTTTTCTTATTTGGGATTTGTTCTTAGGGAAGAACAGAATCTATGCACAGTCAAAATCACAAAGGTGAGAACAATTCTGCAGTTTAAGTCATAAATCTGATGTACACTTTTTCTTAGGACCTTTCTCAAGAACACATTTAAGAACAAACTTAGGAAGATGTTGGTGAATGAGGCCCATTGTTTTATTGGTTTTCTAAGGGATAAGTCAATTCATTCTCTACAGAGAACACACTTCTGCACATTTTCAAGAGACAATTTCTGTTTATCTGCTGAATTTAACGTATCAGGAAGTAAATTAACGCATAATATTTGGCCCGTGGCATTTGACAGCTGTATCATGAGAAATACTTTCCACATTTGTACTTAAAATATGAAGGATTTAGATTATTTTGAATGTCTTACCTTTCCAAGTGGTGGATGGACATCAAAGAAAAATGTGCGATTGATATAATAGCTCCCCATCTTTCCAAAGTGTGTCTCGTCCCAACTGCAAACAAAAAACAATCACAATTATAGGTTATACACACACACACATATACACATTATATATATATATAAACATGGTATGTGGGGTGAAAGTATAGTATATATTGTTATTCCTCTATCTCTCACCATACGTGCGGCGGTTCAGTGATCCTGTAGAAGCGGGTGCAGAGAGAGAGAGCAGCCACAGACAGTAACGGACACAGCGGTGTGTGGTCAGAGTCAGAGCGGAGCTGGTTCTCCCGTTTACAGAGCCTCTTCTCTGAAGAAGTCCCGTTAAAGCCCTGTGTGTCAGTGCTGGAGACTCTGGCTGCTCTGCGGGTTTCAGGTTTTTTGGAGCAGCCCTTCTCTCTGTACTTCTCTGTATCCATACATGGTTTCCGACTCCTTACAGTAGTGCAGCTCTGACTCTGTGTGCAAGACCCCTCACCACAGCTATCTTCCATTAGACAGCTATTAAAATTACACAGACGATGTTCGGACTGATGCCAACGCCTGAGTACGGTGTTCCGTCAGCAGACAGCAAACAAACAACGACAAATAAATAATAACAAAACTTTAAAACCCCTCCTGTAAACCGAGCTGCCCGGTCTGGTTGTGCACTTCAGTTTTAGTTAACCAGAGCTACACTGAGAGGAGGGGGTCATGCAGGCTGCCGCTCTCATTTCGTTTAACTTAAAACGAGGTAAAAACAGAATAAAAAGACTCGCCAAACATTGCAGAGACTGAACTTTTGGTCATTTATATTAATTGCGTCGCTATAAAACCGCCAGCGTGTCTTGCAGCGTTTACTCTTCGGATTTGTATTGGGCTCAGCTGCTCTTCGTTTACAGCTTGAGAATTTTGCCGATTTTGGCTCATCACTGCCACCTACCGAGGGAGAGGAAACAGGACACGGCTCAAATACACGAGCCTTTGAGCCTTTTTTTTCAAAATGTCTTCACAATTAAACCACTATTAATGTTAACAAAATTCAGGAAGAATTGTTGTGAAATGCTGCGTTTTAGAGACATTTTTAACAGTATTGTTCACAGCGGTGGGAACCAGACGTCTGAAGAGTTATCTTGGCATAGACTGCAATGTATTTGAGATACATTTCAAATATAGAAAAATATATGTACATATATTGTTTTCAATATGGGATATTACCATGCAAAGAATCATTTAAGCATGATTCTAAATACAACCATTGCCTGTACTAAAGAACGCTTTACTTGTAGAACCATCTTTTTTAAGTGTATAGATGCCCTGAGACATTGTTTTATGATCAGGTTTTGGCTTAAAACATTTTGTTTTAAATCCATTCATGGCAGAAAGGTACATGCAGTGTGTTGTCTCCGTCTTCTTTCCCAGATTTTACCCTTATCAATATTACATGTAAAACTCAGGTAGGTTCATTGGTCATTTTGGAAGCTAAATAAAATAGACATTGGGTTCCCTGGCTACTATTACCACCATTGTAAATCAAATGTGAGTCAAGAAGTTTCTGTATTATGCATAATTTAACATCAAACAACTCTGAGTGACCCCACTAAACTACACAAATATTTGGATAAACCAGTGGAATTTCCTTTTTAAAAGGCCCATATTCAACCTAAAGCAGTTTAGCTCTGCCCATTTACTTAATTTACATTAACCAAACTGCTTTTTGAGTGAGGCACAACACATAGCAGCCAATCAAATCAGAGGTCATTTACATCTCAGTCCTAAAGGCACAGTAACAAAACTGCTTGTTTTAATTGTAAGGGATACAGAAAAATGCAGGAAATTTGATCTTTAAAACAGAGATATTCAATTTCATTGATTGAGCATGGAAATCATCAAACTGTGCTGGAAACTGACCCTTACCCTAAATATAGTAAATCAGCCAAGACTTGGCATCAGACGTTTGCTATTTTTTCAGTTTTGCACTGTAGCTATGAGGAAAATGTAGCTAAGGATACTCTGCATAGCTATCAGTGGTAAAAGCCATCATGAAGAAAATGCACATGCCACAAAATTATATGCCTTATTTCTACTGAGAGAATCTAAATTCAAACATGGAAACTGAACATCAGAATCTGGCACAAAATCTCAGTGAATTTGGTAAAAATTGACTTTAATCAATGCAGGTTCAAAACTCAATTACATGAGTGAGCGGTCCATTGCTGTTAAGGTATATCGCTTGCATGTTTCCGTACACTCCATGTCTGACCACTGCCCCAGCCTCTGAGCACTTTGTGGACGCAGCCACCTCCTTCTCGCACAGAGAGACGAAGCGTTTGTAGAGGTGGAGGCCTTTCCAACGCTCCACAGCGTCGTGGTGCTGCACTCGGCTGCCTTTCAACACCCCAGTCATGGTGTCTTGGGGAACGATCAGCACACTTCCCGGAAGTTCCAGGATAGATAGATACCTACCATTGCTGGTTGGGAAGAACTTTGAGTTGAGCAAGGAGTTCACTGTGGAAATAGGACACAGAACACTGTTACGGCATGAAGTCCGAATGATGTGTCAAGCATGAAAATTTAGTACACAGAGTCAATGCAGCAGTCTGATATGCTAATACTTTTAAAGGTGCGCTGTTAGAATAAGCGTTGGCCCTTGTTAACAGATTTCAAGACGCATGGACAAACATTAACCTGACAGAAGAATATTTTAAAATAAGAACTGGACTATTTGCTGGACTATAAAGGCACATGAAAAAAAGCTTTTCTAAGGTCCAAAAGCAGATATTGTCTTCTATAATAAATGTCCACATAGTCAATCCAATGTGCATATTACTGAATGAACACAATATTACTTATCATTGGTTTGAGCATTTTTCATACCTACCCATTTTTGAAATGATTTTCTCAGTAGCACTTTTATAAAAGCACACATAGATCACCATTCCCTCATGAATCTGTAAACAAGGAAAAATGGCAGCAATATTTCTCAATCATCATTTCTGAGCCAGGAATGTTGTATGGCAGAGAGGTACATGCAGGGAGTTGTGAGGCAAAATAGTCCTTTTTTCCATATTTGCCACTATTTTACCAGTATCAACATTGCATACAAAAACTTAAAAAAGACTCATACAGGTTCACTGGTGGTTCTGAATAGTAAATAAAATGGGCATATCTGCGTCCTATGCATTGTGACCTCTGGTTCCTATCATCACCACTGTAAAGAGTCAGGAAGTGTCTCTACAATCAATCATTTCACATCAAACCACTCTGAATAATCATGTTTACATCTCAATGAGTTATGGAGAGATTTCAAAAAATTAGCGAAGTTCACCTCTAAGTCATGCTAAAGACTTCAACCTACTTAACATGAGGACTGTAAATAAAAGGCATAACACACAAAGAAAACTGTATAAAATACCTCCACCCATTCTGAGTCAGCATCAGCTACTTGAGGCTTAACTTGCAGTAAGGCGTGTGTGCACTGCTGAACAACAGTCCTCGCACTCAAGCTGCAGTTTCTCCGCTCCTGTGCCAAATCCTCAGGTGACTGACGGGAACCACTGGAACTAGTGAGAAGCAAAAAGAAAGCAGAAAAGCAATAAATATATAAATCAATAAATAAATCAACAGTATTGCACTTAATTTTATATATAGTGTTTTTATAATTCTTAAGGTCTCCTTATACTTTTTTTTTTAAAACAGACATTACGTAATTTTTTTATAATGGAAATCATGGAAAACTAAATTTGGCTCTTTGTTTTTTATTAAAAGCATTTGATGTAGTATGTAAACATTGCTAAAGTTTCTAAATAAACCACCTACTCCCTAGTCCATACAGTCCATATATGAAAATTAAGCTGTGAAAATACAAACACACACACAAACACACACACTATCCTAAGCCACTTATCCTCCTGGGTCGCAGAGGGTGCTGGAGCCTATCCCAGCAGTCATTGGGCAGAAGGCAGGAAACACCCTGGACAGGTCGCCAGTCCATCACAGGGCAGACACACAAACATACACATTCACACACACATTCACACCTAGGGGCAATTTAGCATCTCCAATTCACCTAACTGAATGTCTTTGGACTATGGGAGGAAACCAGAGCAGCTGTGAAAACAGCCTGTGTTAAATGACTGTTTCTGTAATGTCATGAAAACCAAGATATTTGCATACATCTGTCCACTCAGCCTTCAGCTCTTTAACCCTGTGCATTCAGGCTGAAGTTATAAGCAGTGTTTCAGTCTGAACCACTTTTCAAATGCACCACAACACAGGACAACCAGTTAAAACGAGATCATTTACATAGATCAGTCTTAAAGGCACAGTACCAAAAGAGCCTGTTTATTTAGGAATAAAGAAATGTAAAGATGAATTCTGAATTCTGTGATTTAAGTACTAAAAACAGACAAACATCATACATGGACCTCATAATATTATATTATAATATTATGTAATATAATATTTATAAACAATATCACACTGGCAAAAGGATTTTTATGAATAATAATAAATCATGTATGACAATGTATCAAATGGTTGCGAAAGCACTGCAGATGTAATGATGCTTCAAGCCAACTGTTAATAGCACAGGATTGTATACCTTGTTACTGAATCAGTTCTTATGGTAACTGTTCCATCAGATGTGTTACTATCAGGTTGGCACAGAGGGAGTCTTTTGGGCGTGGAGCTGATCACACACTGCTCCACAGCCACCTCTGAGACGGAGAGATGCAGGTCATTTTCAGTCGTCATTCTCCCGTTCATCTGGCCTGCCAGCCCCAAACTAAAATAGACAAAATGAACAGCAAGTCAGCAACACATATAGCATATAAATATGACCACATGCAAACTGCTAAAAGCACCAAGTGCCAACAAGGACATCAGTCTCACATGGCGCAGAAATGCTGCAATGTGCATCACAGGAGCAGTTCCCCAGAAAGTCAAATTTTACCACTGACAAAGTCAATTAGTTGTTGACAACTTGATTATGACAAAAGGTCATTGTGTTGATGGACTGTATATTTAAAAGCACTTCATAATGTTCACACATGGTCGTTCTGACAGACTGCAATACACTACAGGAAGTGCTGGAGGCAATATGGCTTTTATTGCTTGTTGCACCGATGCTGTGACAGGGCAAAGTGAAATTAAATTGCAGAAGAGGTAATGGTTTGATTAGCAAATTAATCAAATAATAGATGACAGATGAATCAATTACAGAAATATTCATTAGTTGTTGTCCTATCGATTAGCCAAGACATGTATGGTATGCAAAGAATGCTTACATAGTTTTGCACTTGAGCTATGCATCTAACATGTAGGTAATGGAAGTACACAAGCGTTCAAAAGTTTGGAATCACTTTACATATTATAGGTTTTTGTTATTTTAGATACAATAACTTCTACAATGTAGAGTGAAATATTTTAAACTAGACAACAAAATGTACTTGTTGTATTCAATATTTTTTATTTTTGCAACAACAAGTAGTTTTTAAAGCTGCGCTATTTAAGATGTGGGGATTTGGAAACCTCTCTGGTAGAAAATGCGTAAGTGCACACAACAGGTGGAAGAAAACTGTGTAATGTCGGTTGTGCTATGGGCCCCTTCCCTGAGTGGATGAATCTGATGACTGCGAGCAAGTTGAAAGAGAATTCAAAGAAAACTCCATCAAAACTTGGTTAAGGATGTATCTACCGGGGATGTAAGTCAATGATCTACTACTGTTAGAATATATTCATCAGTATAATGTTGATTTTGTATTTGAGACCTAAACAATGAGTCAGATCTTCTTTCTAACTCTGGCTTTGAAGGGTGACTCATGCACATTATATTTTTGCAAGTTTTTTCTTCTGCCTTGAGTATATTTCAGTTAAGCTATGAGTTTGCA